AGCAGATAGTCTGATTTCAGTCAGCTGCGCTCAGTCTGCTCCTCTGAGACGAGCAGACTGAGCGCAGCTGACTGAAATCAGACTATCTGCTCCGGATTCAACGAGAGAAACGCACCGCTGAAGCCACAGAGCTCGAACATCCAACATAAAACTAACTTTACTGCAGTGTCTGGCTAAACAATCCTTGTGCGCTTTAATGTGGTGCTTTTTCAAATGTTTATTAAGTTCCATGTTTTGTAGGTCGCGACCGAGCTTCTTCCTCTCGGTACAGCGGCTCTGCAGACATTGCACGTTGCTGTCTTGCAGTGTTTAGTGTAAAATACTTCCACACAGCGGACATGTTATGATGAAAATTTGGTTAGCCGTTAGCAACAGTGCTGCTCAGCCCTCCAAACATTATTTACTCACGTTTTAGCTGGCTGCAAACGATGAAATGGATTTCTTGAATGTGAGGTGGCTCTTATTATTCTGGGTTTCATGAAACATGCCTCCGTTCAGGAAATCCATTCCAAAGTTTGAAGCCAACCTGCAGAGCAGGTCATCAGACACAGAGATGCATCATGTATCGGAAAGATCGGCAGGTTGGATCGGAAAAATCAGATACGTTAATTATGCTGGTATTGGAGGCCGATACCGGATCGGATTGGCCCCATCTCTAGTATTTATACATTTTTTTCCATTTTCCCTCCATTCTGCACTTTTGTTTTTGGGAGGTGTGTTAAGAAAATCACAGCCTTCGCGCTCCGACGTGCCCTTCCTCATTTTTTTGGAGTCATGATGATGCTTATGGTGCCCAGGCCCACTGCATGAGTTCCTAGGAAGAACCCACGACAAAGAAATGGTCCAAAAAATGTTCCCAGTTTCTTCGCTTTCATTACTTTTTTTAGTTTCCCAGAGTTGGATATTGATCTCTCACGGTCTCTGTGCTCTGATCTTTACCTCTCATAAAAGCTCCATAGAGGTCAACTAACCATGTGGGAGAAACGATTAAGACTCGGGGAAGACACAAACCTATGTATTTCCAAAGAGGTGTTTTGTCTCACCAAACTGAAAAAGAAAATAGTTCCTGGAAATGCAGTCCCTCTCAGTTTAGCTCCATTGCTTGACGTTAAATTTTGCTTTTATGTTTTTACCAAAGAGAGAGTTAAAAGGTGAACAAGCCAAGTGCTGCAAAGGCTGATAATATATGACCAAATCTCCTGAAGTAGCTATATATTCCCGTGTGATAGGTCAAGGCGTTAGCCGCTTACTCCCTCAGCAATTTGTTTAAATTGTCGCTTCACACAGACATGTCTTGAAAATGCCAAGGCTAGGTCGTACAGTAAATCTCGGCAGCTCTGGGTCAAACCTGTGCTCAGCTCATACCCTGCCATGTCAAGGCCCATGCTAATAGCTCTGTACTATCGTTTGCCCTCTGCCTGAAGCAAACAACACCTTTGACTGTGTGTAACTTATGGTATGCATTGCTTTGTGTGGGCATCTTGACAATTTTTTTAGAAAAAGCTGCATTGTTTTCACTCGCTCACACAAAGACGTGCACACATGCAGCAAGTTCAGTCACCCATAGGAAGGAAACCCAGGGCGAGGCTGCACATCTGACAGGAATCCAATTGAGCATGTCTAATGGTGAACATCCAGGAGAGCAGGAGGGTGAAGCCAACCAACACTGATGAAGGAAAGCTGAGGGCGCTTTCCTCGGAGAGCTGCCTCTCTCTTTTTAACTCATCTTCATTTCAATAGTTCAATGATAAAATGAACGTCTTGTCAAATCATAAAACGCTCATTTATTTTATGTTTTGGCACTTTTTTTTATTTCATTTTTTATATAAAAGAGGTGCTTCATAGCACAGAGAAAATAAGAGATTTGTGACAAATAAAGTAATGCCCTTACTTTATGCTTTCTGTTAGAACAAAAGCATTTTGATATGATCATGTTAAATTCAAAACATCAATAAAAAAAATGCAGCTAAATAAAAAGTGTTAAATGTTGTTTATTAATTTATGTAATGACTAATCATACAGTGTCAATGACAAAAGTATAATAACCTTAAAAAAAACAGTTAATATAAGATTGGAGTTAAAGCCATGATGGCAGTCTGGTGTCTTGTTACTTTTAAATGCATACTAAGTGGAAAATTGTACAATTTTCCAAACTAAACATTTAAGTTTAACAGTTGGAAGTTAAACACAAACAAATCCTTCACCTTTCCCTTTGGTATTTCTTTAGTCTCACAGCCATTAAACTACTCAGGGTAATGCCTTTATCTTCTAAAGCACAAGCAAAGACATCCAAATCTTTACTCAGTTCTACAGAAATCTATCATCGTGTTGATTTTTGTTTACAAGTCCCAAGTCTCTGGTCTCATGCTGTAAGTGTGTGGCTCTGCCGTTTGCACATACGTAACTAGACACACAGACCTGCACCTGGTTGACACCGAGAGCAAAGAGGAGAGGGGAAATGCAGCTTGATTGCTATATTTTCATTGTGCTCACACCTGCATGCTGTCATTGGCAGGTGACTGCACACCCACTGTCCAAAGGTTGCAACCCAATAACATGACATGCACAGCAACATAAAAGAAACCAGTACAAGGGCAAAAGATCTCTGCTGACAAATGCACTGCTGCAAACTTTTAAAGCATCATAAATGATGATGGAAGGGTATTTGTTAGAATTATTCAACTTTTTTTTTTTTTTGGACTGAGATCTTCAGTATTTGTCAGTTTTTTTGTCGCAATGAAACATTTTTGAAGGCCTTATGGAAATAGCTGATGTCTGTTTACATTGAAAAGGTTACAATAACACTTTTTTTATAGTTTAAACTCTAGTTTCCATTGTCCTGGTGGGAAGAAACAGGTTTCTAGTTCTTGTTAATGTCTTATCATTTTAAAAATAAATAAAAAATGTAGACAAAGCCTTTCAGAAAGCAAGGTCTTATTTTCAAACGGATCACCAACTGATCCAGGGTCAGCAGTTCTCCATCACTGGCCTGTATTGGTGGTTTTAATTCTTCCATTAAGAGGATTAAAAGGTTTGCATGGCAGAAGTGTGAAGAAATGCACTGTTTTCCCAATAATGACATTATTTTTAGATTCAAATTTTTATATTTTCATTTTTGTTTAAGTTTCTTCGGATCCACTTTGGGACGGACCGTTACAAGAGATCCTTCCTGCCTATCTATGACATCTCTTAATAAAATGATTAATAATGAATTGAAACATTTAATTTCCCTTTGGGGTTAGTTAAGAATTTTTGAGTTGAATTGAACTGTTTTTTACTGCCATAATTTTAAAGTTACGCACATAAAACACTCAGCACTGGCTCTCCTCAGGGATGTGTGTTGAATGAGCCCCCTCCTGTTTACTCTGCTCACGTATGATTATGCAGCTACCTATCAAGGCTGTCACATTGTAAAGTTTGCAGATGATACAGTGGTGGTGGGATGCATCCCAAACAATGATGAGTCCAGCTACAGGCAAGAGGTGGAACACCTGGAGAGCTGGAACAAAGATAATAAGCTTCACATCAATGTGATGAAGACAAAGGAGATGATTGTGGACTTCAGAAGGAACAAACACACCTACACTCCCCTGAACATGAGGATCTGCAGTGGAAGTGTTCTCCAGCTACAAGTATTTGGGTGTACACATCAATGACAACCTCAGCTGGAGCAACAACACTTCCAGCCTGATCAAGAAAGCTCATCAGAGACTCTAGTTCCTCAGACGAGCTGGTCTGAGAAGCTCAGTCCTCACCTCCTTCTACAGGTGTGCAGTGGAGAGCATCCTGTGCTCCAGCATCAACGTGTTGCATGGAGGCTGCACAGCTGCAGAAAGAAAAACTTTGCAGAGAGTGGTGAAAGCTGCACAGAAGTCTGTTGGAGTCAGACTCCCCACCAACACAGACATCTACACCCCCAGATGCAGGAAGAGAACCACCTGCATCATGAAGGACCCCACTCACCCAGCACACACTTTTTGCCCCACTCCCCTCAGGAAGGAGGTTGAGGAGCATTAAGTGTCGAACCACTAAACTGAGGAACACCTTCTACCCTGAGGCTGTTAGACTCATGAATCTCTAACCAGAATAATCACTGTGAAAAAAAAAATCACATCATGTTGCTGCTGATTTGTTTCAATGTTGATGTGTTCATCCACTTTGGGCCCCTGAGCAAGGTCCTTAACCTCCACCATCTGCTCCCTAAACAGGTCTCTCTTGAAAATGAGTTCTCGTGACTCAATGAGACTAACCTGTATAAATAAAGGGAAAAAAAAAACAAAAAACTATTTGAATAATAATTTAATGGGCATCGTATGAGAAAAGCTCAGCTGAGCTGGATGAAAACAAAAACACCTCTTTTCTGGACTATGGCTGAGGGGGCTCTGGACTATGCTACGACCTTCCCTTAAACTCAATGCCTTCACTGGCCTCCTATGCCTCACCTGGCACAGCAACCTAGGAGATGCAAAGGCGCCAAGGGCTGCGTCGCTCACCTGTCTGCTGTGCTGGGACCCCCACCCCCTACTCACTCCACACGCATGTGTATTATGTCTATTTATGTTGCTTTGCTGTGGTAGATTTTTTTGATGCCTCAAACCGTGCCCTGTCAAAGACACGGTGTGAGAGATACTTTTTATTTATACCACTCTCCTTATGTTTTCTTTCTCTTTTCTTTCTATCTAAAATGTATTCTGATAACGAATAAGAGGCCGTGCTCTTGTAGCAGCAGCAACGTGCACTTCGCCCATCTTTCGGACAACTCTACGAACATAATCTCACTGTATCCCGGTACAATGAAAATAAATCTTATTCTGATTCTGATTCTGATAGGACAGCTTGTAATTAATCCCAGACATCAAAAATGACAAAAGTCACAGAAAAGATTTTTTAAAATGTGACATTTTACCTCTACAACTTTAAATACAACTATTTACTGTATATGATCATTATTTTGGCCTTTTTGTGATTTTTATCTACATAAATCCAACAAATAAATAAGTTCATTGCATTTAATAACAAAACTATGAACAAAACATTTTACATGTTACTATTTCCATCAGTCCCTACATGCCCAGGTGAACTAGTTGATATATATATATCTTTTTTATCTATTTCAGTGTTTAGTCAAACATACTTTACACAGCTTTATTTAAAACGCCTGTATAATCCCTTGAGGAATCGATTTCATTATGTTGGATGAATCATACAGTAGCAGTTTAACTCAAATACAACAGCTTTATAAAACACAGGAGTCATGTACGGGTTAAGAGTCATAATGTGAAGAGTCTATCCCTATTTTCCCTGTTATTAGTCATTTAAGCAATATTCATTTCTATTTACAGCGAATGGCTTGTTGATGGTACACCTACCATGCTGAACTGTTTTGAATTCACATTATCTATATTATTTCCAGCACTGGTCACTTGTCTGCTGTCATAATAAGAGGTTGTCAGTAGGCCTCAATAAACGACTGCAGCAGATCTCTACATTGCACAGTGTATTTATATATTTTTGACATATTTTAATGTAGCCTTGGCATTATTATTTTTTCATGGACCTGCCAGTCAGTCTGGGTTGTGTCAGTATCAGCAGGAGGGGATTTTAGCGCGAGGGGCTGCATGTTTGATGAAAACCCAGACCTCCTTGCTTTCAGTGACAGGCTATTGATCAGGATGGCAGTGGTGCTACCACTCTATTAAATCCCATGCAGTCTGTCTCTGGCTGTGGCGTTATTGAGCTATTGACATCATAC